TTATGATTAAGATGAATTAATAACCAATAATATTTTTTTAAAAAAATGAATTGGTAGTTATGATTGAGCTATTATAGATTTTCTTGCCTCATTAAGCTGTATGAGAGAAGCAAAATCTTGTCCTATCTTGATTTTAGGCCAAAACGCCCGGAAAAGTATCTTATATATTTAATTTTAATACTTAGACATACTGTCCTTATCATAGAAGGAAACAAATTTAATAAATAAATCGTATTATATTTCTTTTTTTTTTTTTTTTGCCTAGATCATATTATATTTCTATGTTGTCAAATAAGTTAAGAGTTAAGACAAAATATAAGAAAATAATATTTATTGTTATCATTAAAATATGACTATGAGACTACAATATGAGCTTAATTAATATTCCATTTCTCTCCTGTTCCCTCAAAGCGCACATATTAGGTGGAGATAAGTGTCACATAACTGTCATTGTAATATAAAATGAAAGTCATACAAATTATTGAGTTTGTCTTGACTTAAACATTTAATGATTTGAACAAAATGATATATTTGTTCTTAATAGTAAAATAAACGAATAAATGCATCATGTTTGGTCGGTGAGAATGGAAAGTCTATTTTAATTTCTTAGACAAAATTTTGATAAATCTAAATTAATTACATTTTCAGTTTCTCTCTCTCTCTCAAGATATATAGTATTAGATAATAATAAAGTTTATTATTTTTTATTAGATATGCTTTCATTTATAATTTTATTTCTTCGTCGTCCTGAACGATTTCTTTTTTTGTTTTGTTTTTAGTTCTGGCATTGTACTCAAAATAAAAGTGAAAATAACGTAATTTGCACCAAATCATCATTATATCTTATTTAGAATTTCAATAGGATAATTTTATAAATTCTAAATGAGCTATATAATATTTCAATAATTAAGATCGCAATTTTATGATTAATCATAAGATGTCATTGTCTAAACTAATCCACTCAACTAAAAGAAAACAAAGTGGTAACTAAATAATTATACATAAATTTTTCTTTCTAAGCATGCAATTAGTATGATCTTAAACAATAATTATGTATATTTGGAAGCGAATCATTTCGTAATTTATGTATAAGTATCTATATTTGGAAGTGAATCTTTGTTTATTTATTTTTATTTTTACGTTTTTGTTTTGAAATGATAATTTCCTGGTATTTTACAGTTCAGCCTTAAGGGCTCATCATATTATTCAAAGCATGTTTCGAGGCTCAATATTGTAATTTACAATACTTATTTCTTAAATAGTCAACAATCCTGAAAATGACAAAATTAAAAACTACAATAATAGTTTTAGAGATAATTTCTGAAAACTATGAAAATTATTATTTGAGTTTTGAATTTTTTTCCTCTTAAATTTTGATTTTTTTAGTTACAAAAGTTTAAACGTTACATGAAACATGAAATATCATTTGAAATTTATACTAAAGTATCTTATTTATAAGACATAAACAAGGTTATTAAACTCACAAATTTAAGTAAACTTATGATAAGAATGTAAACTTGTATTGCAAATTTAGATCATAAACTCGAAAGAATTTTTTCTCTGATAACAAAATAACTATTAAATATAGCAATAATTTAATTTAATATATTAAAAAGTAAATTATTGAAATTAAATCTCTTATAAATTATGGTATACAAGAGATAAAAATTTAAAATAGGATAAATCATTTTTAGTATTTTTGTTTTTTTTTTTATATTAGTTTTTACATTTTAATTTTTTTTTCTTTGAATCAGGTTTCTATAACTTTTATAAATTGAGTTTTTTTAATAGTATATATTTAACTTGTTCAACTTAAAAAAATTGATATTTAACAAGTTCAACAATATTGTATCTAATTTGAATTTATGAATTAGTTGATATGATTTTGTAAATTAAAAACGTAGAAACGGTAAACTAGGAGGTAAACTTGCGAGTTTAATTGCGAGTTTATATCTAATTTGAGTTTAGAGTGAGTTAACACAATTTTATAAAAGTGTTAAATTTAGAGAGTTAACTCGAAAGTTGACAACTATGAACATAAATATTGTAATTCATAATAAATTTTATGTTATACTCATATGATAAAACATGCATTTAAAGAAATTCTTGCATAAATTAGTGTACTACATTATCCATAATCTATCTAATAAATTAACCATTTTTTGACCCTATACAATTGTATCAGTTTAATCAAATAAAAATCTTATATATAATTATTTTTAAATAATTTTATATTTCAAATAAAATGCCTATTATATTTATTGTCATTTCTCTGCTTATAATTATCAAGGACAAAATCACTTTATATTTACATTCACAAAAAATAACACATGTTTTTTGTTGCATGGTCCACCGATAACATGTACCGAGCTCATATAAAAATTTCTTCATATTTACATACACAAACAATGATAAAAAGAAAGTGTAATAGACACTTTATTTTGTCATTTTTGCTTCTACATGAAAAGAGAAATATAGTTGGCTAAAAGAAAGATAAAAGAGAAAATATAAGGAAATATTATTATGAATTTTCAATTAATTAATAATAAATTTTCTCAAGTAAGAAGAGAATATATGTTCAGTAAGCTAATTAATTAAATGTGAATGTTTCGGGTTTTTTTTTTTATTATTATTACAATGTAGTCGCTGATAACACCTATTTATAATGTACGCATTTTAATGACTGTATCGCCTCTCTGCTTTTGTGCTCGTCTTGCTTCCCTCCGGATCTGATTCCACCGCCGGTGACCTCTCTAATCTCTTCACTCTTCTTCCGATTCTCAGATCTGTGTTTCAATTAAGCTTTTAGTGTTTGTGTTTTGGGCTTGAAATCATTTTCTGTTACTCATTCCGGCGTTTTCTTTCTTCTTCTTCTTGTTTCTTCCTGTTTGGTTTAATTTTGATTTTTGACGGCACTTTCCTTGTTTCCGTGGTCTGCAAGGTGGTTTTACGTTTTTTTATCTGGATCCGTGCGGACATTTTGATTACTTTTGAATGTTCTATGTTTAGTGGGTAGTGACACTGTAGCGTCTTTCATTATCTTGCTTAGCTTTCCGTTGGCTCTATCTTTGCATTTGGATTGGTTTATGGGCTTTCGTATGTTAAGTGGATGAAAATATTTAGTCTTATGAGGAATTAATTGATATTCTTAGGGGTTGTGATGTCATTGTCTTCTCAAGCGGTTTGTGATTTATGGCGGGGGATTATTTTCAGATTGAGGTTACTAAAACTATGTTCATGAGATGAGGGGATTTTGATGATGAAAGAAATGCTTACTTGCCCAGGCTTCATTGCCTTTTTATCTCGATCTGTAAACCAAACTTTGGAGTTAATGTTACTTTTGTATTGCCATAAAGCACAAGGAACTGGCCCTCGGTTTTTTCACCTTCCACCCCATAATTTTTAAACCTTTCAAGGTCACAAAATGTTACAAAATACGCAGCAAAAGATAGCAGTGGGAACAAGGTCTGGGGTCAAGTTAATTGCATGCAACATTTCATCTTGATTAAGCTATCTATGGCTTATTGTCACTGCGTTGGCACTCATGGTTAGGATCCCTTTTGCTTGAAGAAAGTGTAAAACAACGTGCTTTTCATGGGGCGTACACAGACACATTTGATTCATGCTCTATGCACTTGAAATCCACTAAAAAGTGACATGTTTTCATGATTTTTTTTTTTTTGAGTATCTTGGTTTATTTTCCTTTTCTTTCTTAATTACTATATTTATTAATCTTTTCTTGGGCAATTATTTGACCTCCAAAGGCAGTTTAAGAGCATGGGTCGTGGAGTTAGCAGTGGTGGTGGACAAAGTTCATTGGGCTATCTTTTTGGCGATGGTGAGGCTCCAAAACCAGCAAGAAGTGATGCTCAAGCTGAAGCACCTGTAATTAATAAGCCTCCTTCAAAACCTCAACCAGTAGATGTGACCAAGCAGATTCCTGCTGGGATTCATAGTAATTCTGCTGATGGCCAGAACACTGGCAACTTCATCACGGTATTACTTGTGCTTTAATTTGTTTACTTCCTTCCTAATTTAAGTGTCAATGATATAACTTTATTTCAGAAGTGTTTGCAATGTCATGAACAGCACTAGTTCTGATATTATGGGCCCTAAGAAGGTTATTTTGGAGACATCTGACTGTCCAATTGCATTTTTGCTATAGATTCTGTTGCTTTATCTGTTTGCTTTTCCTGCAATACGGTGGCATCATAGTCACATAGATGATTATTTCTTTTTCTTGCTAAGTTCTAATTGGTGGCATTTAAGATAAATGAGTTCATACCATTGGTTGTAATGTTGTGGCACAAAATTTCGGGGAAACAAAAATAACAATGTGGATGAGACTCTTGGTTGATTTGCGCCTGCACTCTCGTTGCCTAATGCATGTAATGATCTGATTTTGACTGGGTTCTCCATCAATAATCATTCATATACCAAGAAAACTATGAGATCTGATTCATATATAGTATGGTAGACAGGTTGATGAATATCTTGTTGCTGGGGTTTTCTTTTGTCTCATACGCTGTTCTTTGAAAATTCTACATTTGTTTCTCAGTTTGTCATCCGCATGTTGCGATTGGTAAGTTTCTTTCTGCATTTCTGATGCAGGACCGACCCTCAACCAAAGTCCATGCTGCACCTGGTGGCGGCTCTTCTCTGGGCTACCTGTTTGGAGGAGGGCCTGGTGAAGGAAAATGATATCTCAGTTGTGCAGCTTTTGCTTCGAGAAAGCCTTCTTTTCGATTTCAAACCTTGGAAACATTGTGGAACATATGATGTATTGATGAAATATAGGTTATGGTTGCTGGGAGATTCCAATCAGTACTATATTTTAAATGCACAAAATGTCTATTACTGAACTGTCTGTCTGTCTGTCTGTCAGAAGCAATATCTTAACTTCATATTTGTTTTTGATTTTTATCTGTTGGCAGATATTTTTCTGTCATATTGCTTCAATTTCTTCTAATGGGTTCAGAATTTAGGGGGCACTATTTTACACGCACAAGATGTCTGTTACAGAACTGCCTGTCAGAAGCAATATTTTAACTTTCTAGTGCTGTTTGGCAGATATTTTTCTGTTATCTTGCTCTAGGTTTTTTCCTTTAATGGGTTCAAATTTAGGGATTAGGGATACTGTATTTTAATGCACATGCTGCCTATTACAGAACTGTCTGTCTCAGAAGCAATGTTTTAACTTTCAATTGCATAATTGCTTTTGATTTTTATATGTTGGCAGATATTGTTTGTTAATTTGCTCTAATTTCTTCCTTCTAAGGGGTTCAAAATTATTGACGATAGTTTGTAGGTAAAATCTTTGGTACTAAATGTAACAATCACAAGCTTTTTCGTTATTATGTGGAATTTGAGTCATCAAAACACGGGTGGTAGAGTTATAAGATTGAAAAGATGTTTTATAAAATTAAAATACTAAAATAAAATTTTGTATAAAATTAAAGGATTAAATGAATATTTTAGTCTAATCTAAAATAAGAACTAAAAGTCCTTTATTGGTCTAGAAGTTCGTTATTTTTATTTTATGATTTGCAACTCTCAAACAAAAAATTGCACGTAAGATTTGCCCATTTGTCAAAATAAAACTTGACATATATATATATATATATATATATCATCATTTGAAAATTATTTTTCTTAAAAAATTAACGAATTTTCCTTGCAAATTCATGTTTTGACAATTATAAATAAAAGTAGAGTAGCAAATCACTGGAATTTTTTGACAAATTTTTCTTTCGTAAATTAACAAATTTCATTAGCAAAATTTTTTTTTTTTGATAGTTATAAATCATGTGATGAGAATATCAAACTTTGGACTAATGCATTGAAAATTTTTTGGTCCATATTTTAAATCTCCAAAACTTTTAATCATTATTTAAATTTAATTTGATATTTTCGTCTTCCCCCGTTAAAGCTCAATGGCTCAAATTTCATCATAGCAATAACCCCGCGGTATCATGTATTCTGGTCGTTGATATTAATTTACTTGCACTAATTCAAGGTGAATAAAGTTGGGTTTGCACTCAAGCCCAAGCTTGAGAGTGAAACTTACCATTTTTTTTAATTAAAAAAAAACAAATTGACATTAATTATTTAAGTATACCATAAAATTAAAAATCCATGGTAGTTCACTATTTCTTAACGGGGGGAGAGAATGTGTGTCCTGAACAATACTGTCCATTTAAGAAATTTCGGTATAAGAGTTAAGTTTGAAGTCTTGCAGGTCGAGATGTGAAAATTGTCACTTATGCAAAAGACGGGGGAAAATATTATGACTGCTGTGTACTAAGTGATTTATCTCAATCTAACTAGTTATTGGTTGTTGGCAATGAATTTTTTCACACGCATGTCTTCTCTTATCGGATATAATCCTGTTTGAGACATAATTAGATATTATATATAGGAATTAATGAATAGCCATGATGTCAATTTTAAAAGCTGGAACATGTAACATTCAGTTAAATGCAACCATTTATTTTTGGGTGAAAAATGCTAAAATATTTGAATTGTTGGGATAGTGAAAGTAAAGTTGTGCTGCTTTAGCATTGAATAAGTAACTATAGTAGGGGAAAAGTCAGCTGGGCCTATATGGGCCAGCTCTTATAAGTTCAAACTCATAAATCTTATTATATAAAAATTAATAATTTTTTAAAACTTGGCTCTTATTTCAAAAGTTTACAGTTAAGATATCAAGCTTGCTTTTATTATTTATTATATTTTTAATTTAAAAATTAACATTTTCAGTTATAATATTTCATATTTTTTAAAAATATAAATTATAATGTTCATAAAATAAAATAAAAATAAATATTTTAATTTTAAAATATAAATATATTTTTAAAATTTAAATTCAATTTAAAAATTAAAAATATTTTATTTTTAGGAGTAAAAAGAAAATCTAAACGGGCTGCCTGAATTTATTTTTTTAAAACTTATTAAGCTTGGATATTAAAATTTAAATTTTTTTAAAAAATGTCATTTTTAATCTCTAACTTTTCTTAAAAAGTTAGGATAAAATCAGTGGCCCCGCTAGGCTGGGCTCACAATTGTGGATGCGCAAATACTCCCCTGTCCCGAAGCTCATGGGTACCGTCCAAATTAATGTTCCTTTCCCTTCCCCTTTTTCTTTTTCTTTTAAAGAACAAAAGGAGGATGGTGTGAAAGAGGGGAAACAGTTTATTGCTGTTTCTTTCTCATTGACTTGGTAAATCTTTCTTCATATACAGGTTCTCACAATTGAATTTTGATTATTTGGTAGTAGAATAGATGAAATAGAATAAAGTAATCTTACATTTGAAATATATCTCTTATGTTCTAAAAAAAATACAAGTCAATTATTATTTTTATGGATTAATGAGCAAATTAGCTCCAAACTATAACTTTAGTAGCTTTTAAGATTCTAAATCAAGGTTGTTAAACTCGTAAATTTATGTAAATTCATGATATGAATGCAAACTTTAAAACATAGACTCTTATTATAAACTTGTAAGATTTTATCTCTATTAATAAATTTTCTTTAAAAGTATATATAAATAATTAAAATATAAAATATGATCATAATTTAATTTAAATATATTTCAAATATAAATCATTGAAATTAAATCTATTTACATTTATAAGTTATTATACTCAACATAAAAATTTTAAAATAGCGTAACTTATTTTTGGTATTTTTTATTTTATTTTTATTAATATTAGTCTTTTTTAGTTTTATTTTTCATTGAACTAGATTTTACTACTTTTATGAATTAAGTTGTATATAATATATGCTTATCTTGCTCAATGAGCTTATGAGTAAGTTAACACAATTTTATAAGCCAGAAACATAAAACTAATAAACTCAGAGAGTCAACTTGCAAGTTTAACTGATCTCTATCTAATTTGAATTTATAAACGAGTTAACACAATTTTGTAAGCTATGAATGTAAAAATGATAAACTCATAGAGTTAATTTAAGAGTTTGACAAAAATGCTCTAAACTTATATTTTGTATAATATTTTTCTTTAACTTTTAAAAACTGTGCAATCTAACCTTTGAAGTTAACAAAAGTTAACTTTGATTATTAGTTGACTAAAAAATGCCTGAAAGGATCTCAAAACTTATAAAAAAAGAACTTAAAATTATAGTAAATGATTCAAATATTACATACAACGACCCAAAAAATTACAGAAAAGGACTAAGAAAAATTTTCTTGATCTTTTTCTATAATTTTTGAAATTTTTTATTTTTTAATTAATTAATGATCAAAGTTAATTTTTATTCATGGAAGTTAGATAGTACTGTTTTCAAAAGTTAAAAAAAAATACTATATGAAATTATGAGTTTAATGATGCAGATACTTTTAAACCTATAACTTAAGGGTCAATTTACTTATTTACTTTTTTTTTTCTTTTGTTACTCACAAGTTTCCTTTAATCAAAAGCAATTATGTTTAAAGTACTATTGAACACTTAATGTGGGTATTTTTTTAGCAAAAATTTAAATCTTACTTCGCTGTATTGTGAAAGACTACCGGCCCCTCTCCCTTAATCTGACCTCTTTGGTAGTTTACAACAACTATTATTAAATAGTGCTCCACCATATTCTTATTATATGGGTTGTTATTATTTTTTTTCCCGAATTGCTCTTGTTTAAAGTCTTATGAAACTGTTATCTTTCTATTTCTTATATTGCTCTTCCTTCCAGCTTAATTTTCAATGTGTGATTTTAAATATGGGCAAAGTGAACTTTTTTTTTAATTTTTAAATCAAAGTTAATAACTTAACCACATTTTTAAAATTTTGAATAAGCACGCTGTCACAGTAATTGCGAGTGAAATTTAAAATAAAAAAAATATTGAGCGCCTGTGTAATCCAACAATATCCAAAATAAATATATTTTTCCAAATTTTATTTATATTGATAAATATAGATAATATCTCTCAAAATCCTGTTAATAGATTCTTTAAAAAAGAAAAAGAAAAAGAAAATAGAGCACCAAAAATCCACTACCTTTAGAGTCCACTCGCAAAGCTGAACATCTGCTTCATTTCAGAACTACATGGCCCATTTTCCTCTTGTTCCCAAGAATAATGGAATCACAAAAATAAGGTTTTTACCAATTTCATCATAGATGACAAGTGTTTCATTTTGCTTTCTACCTCAGAAGCTTCCCCAAACTGATCCAATTACTTAACCTTCAGACAAATCTTTGAAGTTTCTAACACACGTACATTACAAGGAAAAAAAAAAAAAAAAACAAAACCCAAAACTTGAAGAAACGGATGAATCTGCAGGATATCGAGTACTTCGTTGAATTGTTTCACAGAAGTTTACGAGAGTTCAAATGAGGGAAATTTCTGGGAAACTTCTTGAGTTCTATTATATATATTGATCCTTAATTAAGTTTCATCTGAACAAGTTCCACAGATCAAATCATAAACCACATCAGAACACACAAACACACCATTTTTCCAATGCCTCCGACCAAAAGCAGTGACATTGACAAGCTCTTACAGTTCCTACACATCGCCATCCTAGTTTTCCTCAACCAAGGCTCTTCTTCTTTCTCCAATGCTTTCACACAAGAGCCATGGTCATGGGGTCTCTCACTTCCCATAAGTTTATACTTCAAATTCGCTCTCGAGATTCATGCCCATCTGGGTCTCTGTGTAGGGATTGGCCTTCCCTCACTGGTCTACTGGGGTATCACCAGAGGCTCCATAGACTGGTACTCTGACACAGTCCTAGATTTCAACCTTGAATTCCTCAAAAGCTGTCTCCTCAACCTTGTCATTGGGTTTGTTCACTGGCTGATCGTGAAGCTGCTTCACAAGTTCCATGAATGGATGATGCAGAACAAGAGGCTTTCTGAGTACTGGCCAGTTCTGTCAAAATTTGAGGAAACTGATATTTTTGAACACCCTATGCTCACACCAGTTACTGGGAAAGAGATATTTGTGCAAGTTTTGGAAATGTTGGGCGTGTTCTTCTATAACGGGAATGTGATGCTCTTGAGCTGGGGATTTTCTGGGAATGCTTATGATTCTGAGATTGGTAAAGCCATATCTTGGGTTAGTCTGGGAAGTGCTTTACATGTGTGGATGAAGGCTTGTTTGAAGGTGCTTGAAGTGAAAGCAGTAACAGCATCACCACTTGATATTGAAGAGAAGAAGGCATTGCAGATGGGAGAGAAATTATGTGAAGAGGACTTAGATCAGAGCAAGCAACAACTCCAAGTGGTCAACTTTTGAGGGTTCTGAGTGAAGATCCTAATTTTATGTGATTAGTAATGAAGAATTTTTAAGTATGTTTAGTTAAGGAAAAAATAAAATTGAATTGCTGATCATAACGCACGTGTTCTTAAGAATTATGAGCAAGGGTCCAGTCTCTGCATAAAAGAACTTGTTATCCATATATATATATATATGCATGTATTTGTACAAATTTATTTGTTTGTAGTGAATATTTATTTGCTTGTTAAGCTGCATGCAGTCCTTATTTTGTGAGTGCTAGCTAGACTAGCAATTATAATTGAGAGTTTTTTTTTTTTAAATAAAGATCGAGTTTGAATCTATGCCTCAATTCCTTGGATGTAAATTCTACTTAAAGGGAAGTAATAGATGTTGATTCCGTCTCTATTTATCTGTTTGGTTGAAATTTTTCAACAGCGGTATTCCATTCCAATGAGAATGTCCGTTCCTTATCGTCTTGGGAAGTGATGATTCTAGCACACAAGAGATGGAATGGCTATGATTCCCACAAGAAAATTTAAAATTCTGTTTTGTCAGTTTTAACCAAGATTTGTTTCTTTAAATCCCTGAATTTCTACACTCATAAGTGCATTTCAATACTTGCATTGGGAAAGTTAATCATTTAGTCTTTATATTTTTAATTCTATTGTAACCTAGTTTTTTATCTTTTACTTAATACAATTTAATCCTCAATGTAATTTAATTCATTTGTAATTCAATTCCTAAACTTGAAATCATTACAATTCAGTACATATAGTTTTATTCATTTAAAACATTATTAATTCTCAAGCTTTAATAATAACTTTAATTGTTATAATTTTATTTTGTGAAATGTAGGACTAACATTTAAATAGATAAAACTATAAAAACTAAATTGTACCAAGTTAAAGTTAAGAGACTATGTTTTAATTGAGTCAAAACTATAGACAAAAATAATTTTCCCTAAAACACTTATGTACATTTACTCCAGGCAGTGAAAGCTAAGAGAGCAACATTCAAGCTTCAAAGTTGAGCAACTGTGTCATTCATTATCATGGTGGTTCTAAAATACTCTCTCTGATTTTATTTATAAGTCATTTTTATCAATTTTATCAATACTAATATAATAAAAGTACAAGAAATAAAAGTAAATAAAATTTCAAATATAACCTTCAAGTAAAAAGCAAAAAAATAAGTCAATCATATAATATTATTTTTTTGTTTTTCTCTTTCTTACTTTTTAAGGGTAATTTAGGAATTTTAATTTGAAACAAAACAATTTTATCAACAAATAATTTATAAAGTGGATCAGATTATACTTTTAGAAAGTGACTTATATATTGGACCTGAGGAGTATAAGTTATCAAAAATGCAATTATATTACTGATATTCATTTTAGGTTTACTCAATAATGAGTAAATTTGATTAAAAGATAAGGAATTTTAAAACTAACTTCAGAAAATTCAACAACTACTGGACAGCAGGGATCAACAGTATTATAAACCAAGGGAACTGAAATAATTATTTGAGGATGCACACTAATAGAGAATGAAGTGTTTTATTTTCTGGTCAATGATGACATATATAGGCTGGAATACAAATGAAGTGTACATTATAAAAGAAACGAAAAGACATGAATTTATTATGAAAAAAATATTTGAAATGTTTTCGGGAGCTCTCATACGCTATCCAACAATTGCATGTCTTCCCCTGTAAGGAAAGAATATTCAGGAAAAAAGTATGGCATTGTTTCATCCTTGCGCATCAGATATTGACGAAAAACAAAGGTAAAGAAGAAAGATAATGCAATAAGAAGAGTGACAACTGCAAGAGCTATGGAAGAACCCAAGATGGCATATGTGGCTGTTCCAAATGCAACTATCATGAATACCATTCCCAACATTGTAAGCAACAAGGCTGCCAAGAACATACCTCGATCGATGATAAAGGTATCTTTATCTCCCTCCACAAATGAGGAGAAAATTTGGAGAAAGACAGCAGAAGCAGAGAGAACAAAGGAGAGAGAGTCTGTTATCACAAATGCCTTAAAAGCTGCATTGTGCATCAATATGGGAGAGCCCTTATTATTTTCACCGTCTTGTATGGTACCCCCAGGCAATGTAAATCCTACTGCAAATGTTATTGTTGCTATCAATGTGGCCACCACAAGCAAGGTTTGTCTTACTTTGCTATAGATTTTTGTGATATCGTTCTCCTCTTGTTTCTGTTTTTCAACTTCTGAATCACATATCTTCTTTTTTATCTTCGTCTTTTTAACATCATCATTTATGACTCTCACCAAACCTTGCTCTAACTTTTTGTTGAAGTTTTCGCAAGAACAAGTTCTGCAACATGTAACAACACTTGTCATTTTGATTTTGAAAAAGAGAATCATCTGTTAATTATTTAATAGTAAGCAGCATTTACTAATAGCATAGTGTATAATCAATGAATTCATATACTGTTTTTATTGATTTTTAGTAATTACATAGCTAGATGTTGTCACTGCTTGTTACCTCATATTGTGAAGTTGAAGGCACATTATCATAAGCAACATCAAGAGCAGTTTGGTTGTTTTTATTGAATGCCATCGTGTCCACTTTTGTATTTTCTTTCAGAAGATGATGAAAATGATATTCTTTCCATGTGGAAGCATAACGGGCAAGGAGATGAAGGAGCGTGTTGCCATCATTGTCTTTCTCATTGTGCATGTTTCTTAGTTGTTGCCTGTCCATAAACACTTCTGCAGCTCTTAATCTTCCAATGAATGGGAGTTGGCCTCTCTCAAGACTTGTAGTATAATGAAGAGCATTGCGGCCCTTGTGATCCACCAACTCTGAACAATCTGGACAATATTCTATTATCTTTCTCATGGCCAGACCATTTCCACAATATGCAGCAAAGTGAAGAGCCGTCCTTCCCTTATTGTCTCTCATGTATGCTGTGTTTCTATCATGCCTTAACAAAACCTCTACCAATTCAGAATTTTTATTTAATGCTGCTAAGTGAAGTGGCACCCAACCATTTTCATCTGCTTCTTTTATTGCTGATGGTATTTTCGACACCAACTCCTCTAATATTTCTGTAACACCAATTCATCAAACTTTATTAACTTCTTTTTTTAAATCAAATTAAATATCTTTCAATTGCAATTTCTTATTAAAAACATGCCTCTCGTACTTCAATTTTTTTTTTTGGAAAATTTAATTTCATGACCACAACATTCCATTAAAATTATTTCCAAAAAAAAAAAAGATATGCATGTGTTATTAACTTTTTGGGATAATATAACTTTTAGTCTCTAAAATTTGTCTCAATTATTAATTTTGTCTCTCAAGTTTTTTTTATTTAGTCTCTTAAATTTTACTTGATTTGATTATTACTGTTTGAAAATGAGGTTCATTGTTAAAATTTGTTGACATGAATAATATAATATTAACAAAAACCATGAAAATTAATGAAAAGAAATATAATTATTTAGGTAGAAAAAATAGATTCTGAAATTTAATAAAAACAAGAGAACATAAGGGATTGTAGTGATAAAAATTAAATTAATTTGAGGGTTAATTTATTCTTATTTAGTTGCGCGCGCGCGCGCACACACATATATGTGCACCAAGTCATTTATAATATATTTTGCATATTATATTATTTTAAGAGTCAATTTGTGTTTTACAACATAAAGGACTCATATTATAAATATTTAAGAAAACATAAGGGATTAAATCGTTAACTAAGACAAATTTTATAAATTAAAAATTACATTATCCCTAACTTTTTAATGAAAACAAAATTTTTGTATGCCTCCCCAGATTGTTGATATTAACATTGTCACTTAATATACCTTATAAACAAAACATTTTTATATACAGATCAAATGGAAATTTAATTATTGTAAATGATAAAATGTAAAAAAGAAGAAGCATGTAATGTGTATTTACCTTTTTTTCCTCCCAACTTCTCGAAAAAATGCTAGCTGCATGTAATGCTGTTCTGCCATTGGGGCCTCTATGGTTGGGTGAATTGCCTTTTTCTAATATTGTATGCCTTACTTTCTTGTAGCCTCTCTCAGCAGCAATATAAAGTGGAGTCTCCCCATCACTGTTAGCAAAATATGGGTAATCTAGGTCTTCCTTTATCAACAACTCTACTATTTCTTTGTGATTATAACGTATTGCTTCATGCAGAGAGCCGTGCCCTTCTTATCATTTGTAGCTTTTATAAGTGTTTCCTTAATTCCATCTTCACTAGATGTAGCTTTATTGACACGTTCAATAATTATTTTCACTATTCCAATATGTCCATACTTGGCTGCTATATGAAGGATAGTTTCATCTTTAGTGTTGGCTTTCATCAAAAGTGCTGGACACATATCTAGAATCTCAATCACAAATGCCTCCAATACCTCATAACGTGTCAAGTGAACATGAAGGATTGTGTTTTTATTTGGAGTTAACATAGACTCAATTTGGTCAGACTTTTTCTTGAACACGTCAGTTTCACCATCCACAGCAGCTTTATATAATTCAAGTTCCATACATGTGATTGTGACAGTTCTATAGTCATTGTGCACAAAAGCAGGTTCCATTGAAGTGATCACTTGGGAGGCTTCTGGCATGCTGAAAATCAGAAAAACCAGGATTTAGAATATAAAAAAAATAAGACAATCTAGAATTTGGAAAAATGAACAACTATGCGAAACTGATTAACATCAGACATCATCTGCATTTTCAATTGTCACTATCACAGCCACAACCTTTGCAACTTACAGTATAGCACCCGGATTCTTGATATTAATGTAATTTTCCCATATTAAAAGAAAATTCAAATAAGAACAAAAGTGGTAGCAAAGAAGTAGACAGGGATCAGAAATAAGGCATTAGGCAAGTAACACGGGAGGCCTCTTCCTTGCTGAAGTATTGAAGCAATAATTCTTTTTTCAACTGAATGTATCTATAAAAGTTAAACTACTTTTATTAATTATCTTGAATCTTGAGATACCCTAAAAGCAAGAACTTTTATCAGATGATTATTTCCATTTTCAATTTAATATAAAAAAAAATCAGGAAAACTAGAAATTAGAATGAAGTTGGGCTTCTTCGTGTGCTATATGAAACTGATTCTTCTTCAGTCAAAACTACTTGATTTTCGAGTGTCACTAGCGAAGCAGCCACAGCTTTTGTAACTTATAAGATAGCAACCAAATTCTTAAGATAATGTGGTTAAAGAAGTTTAAATAAGAAATAATGCAGGAGCAAGTATAGAAAAGACACAGAAAATAAAGCATTCTTCTAAGCAAATATTTGCACCGCAAGATAGGAACTAACTAGAACCTTCAAAAACGATTTATAAGAAACAATTACCTTGAAAGTAGCTGCTTGCCAAGCACAGTGAGTAAACAACTCTTTAATTTACTGCTACTTCCTCTTTTATAGACAGATTTGTCACCATAGTTTCAGAGGGGGATCTATATATATTTATATATAAAAGAATACAAAACAAAATAAAAAAGAAGATTCTTTACTTAATTGAGGAGGAAAGTGAGGAATAAAGAGAGATAATGGAGTAAGAAGAACTTGAAATGAGAGCATTTAGTAGTTCGAGAGAAAAAAAAAAATAGTAATAACCTCCAGAAGTCATTGTTCCCCATGCAATAAGAAATAAGGGGATCAAATATAGGACCAAATTCATGAGAGGCCAAACCATTTATGAATAAATAAAAGAGATTTATGGAAAAAGAGAACCAAACCAGTGAAGCCAGTGATTTGGCCCTGCCCCTTCCTCTGCACAAGCAAGTCCCGTGAACAAGATGATTGAAGCAAGGCCCTGCCCCTGAATTTATAACGAGTTAGCTTTATTTTGATTCACAATAATGCAACAACAGAACGTTTCGTGAATAATTTTATTCTTATTGTTTATTTATACTTCATGACCTATACCTAACCATTATTAAAATTTTAATGAGGACTGACAAGCATGGGTCAAGGAATCTGCATATTATTTATCTATAAACGATGATTTGTTCGCCTCAAGACATGAATTTTAGTAAAATAATAATCTGGGTCAATATTTTAGAGGGTTAAGGATCATTTTTAATCTAGAATTATTTGCTTAGAGTCTGTAGGTGTCCTAAACTCTATTTTGGTTCAAAACGCTCTCAAAACATTTAAAAATACACATTTCTACCCTATCATTGCATTACCAGGAAAAAAAAAAGTATTTAGTACTAGCTCCTAAGTTGATTTAGTAGTAGTTTAAATCACTACTATCAACATTTGTAGCAGCTTGGCATACTGCTACTAAATGAAGCGTAGCAAGTAATATAGTAGCAGTTTGCTACTACCAAATTCAAACAGCTACAATATGACCTTTTTTTTTATAATGTTAACACAGTTAACCAAATTTACCAAAAAGGTATACATGACACTCTATGTGGCATTTAAGTGGATGCCAAGTCAAAAATTAATAATATCATTTTTGTCCACAAAGTATTCACTAGGAGATAACTAGTGTCTTAAATTTGATTTGGGATCATTTTCCTTCTTAAATATTAAAAAAAAAAATCTAACCGCATGTGCCTTGTCGTTCTCACATCATAGAAGGACACTAATTTAAGTTAGTAGGTCTCATGTGTGTGTACATTGGCATTCAAGCAGATGCATAGTTAGAAGTTTAAAAAAATTCCTCTCAGATCACAGTCAGAAATTAAATTTTACTTGGCATCTGGACTGAAAAAAAATTTAAAGGCTAAAAATATACAAAACTTTTCTAAACTTTGAAACAGTTATACAAAACTCTATACCTTTAAAAGTTTAAAATTAATCTCTCTGACCTTTTACTTTTTTTCCACAGAGTCTACTATTGCTATTTTTCAGTTAATTTACTAATAGAAGGTCTCATGTCATATTAAGAAAAAATAGGTAGCAGCTTGTATGGCGTACTTTGTAAGTTAATAGGAACTTTATAAAAGTTTTATCCATGTTTTGTATATTATTAGTGGTACATATTTTTCTTGTTTTAAAATATAAATGTTTATTTATTTATGATTTCTCCTTAAATAATGTTGAAAAATAGTAAAATATTCTTTTCATATCATGTGCCATGCATATCTCACTAAGGAAAATTTAATTTCTGGCCACAACAACGAAAATGTTATCATCAAAGAAACCATTTATATGGATAAATGAAGTCTCATAGAAGAGAGAACCAAACCAGTTAAGCCTGTGATTTGGCCCTGCCCTTTAATTTCTCTCCACAAGCAAGTCCTGTGAACACGGCGATGATTGAAGCAAATGACATTTATAACCATCGATTTAGCTTATTTTAATTCTCAATGCAAAACAACAGAACGTTTCATGAATAATTTAATTCTTATTGTTCATTTATGCTTGATGACTCATACCTAACCATAATTAAAATTTTAATCTAATGAGGACTAACAAGTATTGGTCAAGGAATCTACATATTGTTTATCTATATAAATTAATGATGAATTGTTCATGTGATCAACACGGCCGGCACTTTTGTGAAAATAATAAAGTGGGGCAATATTTTACCTCTCTTTCAGTCTTTCTATCTTTTGGGTCACGTGACCTATTTTATATTTCTAGCAACTTGCCACAAGAAAAAGCAAACTGCAGAATCGCGAGGCCAAGTAAGGTGACGTAAAAATGTTGGTCAATTTAATTCCAATGTTGGTCAATTTCCTCCAGCCATTACTAAAATTATTGTACAGTGTTTTGATTTTGGTTGTAATCTAGGCCTTCAAAGAATTAATATATTTATAGATTGCGCTGATCTGAGGCCATCAACTTGATCATTAGAGCTGATGTAAGCCAACAGTCTTTCAGATGTATTATATATTGGGCATGCAAGGAACTCCCCAAACAACATTAGTCTAATGTTTTTTAATTTTACTCCCTCCTTTAAAAAAATATAAAATATTTTTAATCGAATTTCAGTATTAATAAAATAGTTATTTATTTTTAAATTAACACTATCTTTCTATATTTACCCCTATTTAATAGAGTATTTTATTTTAAAATAAATATAAAGTGGTTTATTTATTAGGGATACTTTAAAAAAAGG